TACTACTATTATTAAACAAATATTTGATCTCTCTGTTAGAAAAAAAAAGCTGGAAATGAAAAGAAACATTCAATCTAAAAAAATTCTATTGACTGTATGCTGTTATAACAGAAACCTGAATGTCGATACATTACAGCGTATTCAAGATGAAGTTGCACCAGATGTATCAGCACTTAGCAGTGGTTTATGTATTACAACAATTTTTCAATTTTTTATTCTACCGCGACAACGTCGAACATTTTTAATTATATCAGTGATATGGAATATATCAAACATTATTGGTGCCGTTCTATTAACACACAACATAATCTATGCAAATCCATTTTTGGCACATGATGTTAGCTGTTGCAAAATACTTCATTTTTTTTGTTTATTTAACTGCTTTTTGAAGGAACGAATTCGGGGGCGAGGACAGCGATGGAAGTAAGGGGAAAGTACACATAATAATACTTGAAAACATTTTTCAATTATTTTATATCGGTTATTCAATAAAAAAAGTAGGAAAAAAACTGGTGTTTCAACTTTGATAAACTAAATTGGTGGTGGTTTAGTGGGCAGCTTTGTTTGTTCAACAAACAACTATCTCGGTTATTGGTCTTATCGGTGACGCCAGTGAAGCCGGTAATCGTGCAGAAATATCTAAACGTTTAGGTGAAGCCGTACATCGTCGTACTCAATTAGAGGCATTAAAAAGTCGTCAAGACCAATTACTACTATCTGTTATTCCAGCTTATCTAACCGATAAGGTGTGTGTAAAATTAGATTAAAAAAAAAATTTTTTTTCTTTGATTTTTTCTATTAATTACCATCTAAAAATTTGTTTTCCAAAAGCTTTTACTTTAAAAAAACAAAAAATTATTTACAATTTATCAAAAACAAAAGACGTTGTTCTCTTTAGGTTAGCAAATCAATTGTAGCATCAACATCAGAAAATGCAAGCAAAAAAAATAAACATCATAAACTGTTTCATGAACTTCATGTACAGTTACATGCCAATGTCAGGTATGTAATTGTAGTCTTTGTGAAAAATTATTTTTAATATCTTAGCATATTATATTCTACTTTTTTTCATCTTTCTATTTCTTTTTTATAAGTCAATTTGCAGCATCTTATTTGCTGATATAGTCAATTTTACGGTATTAGCAGCTCAGCTTAGTGCTCGAGATTTAGTGCGTACGCTAAACGAACTGTATTCAAAGTTTGATCGTGATGCTCAGGTTAACCCACTAAAATTATGCTTTGATAATTGCGCTTTTTAGTATTCAATACCAAAGATCGTTGTCTTGTATTTTTGCAGAAATTACAATGTATGCGGATAAAATTTTTGGGTGACTGTTATTACTGTGTAAGCGGTATGCCGGTGAATAGACCAAATCATGCTGATATGTGCGTTGTTATGGGACTGGAAATGATTAAAACCATTAAGTATAGAACTTTATCTTCTACAGTATAACCGCTAAACTAATATAAAAAATATCTATGACAACAAACCTTTGAATCTCTTATTTTCATTTCTTATGAGTAGTCGTTCTTTAATTGTAGTAGTCAAATTTTTTGGAAATTTTAAATTTGATTAATAAAATAATAGCTGTTGAGGCAGGTCCGAATTGCGACAGGCGTTGATGTTAATATGAGGATTGGTGTTCATACTGGTTCTGTACTTTGTGGTGTTCTTGGCCTGCGAAAATGGCAATTTGATGTTTGGAGTGACGATGTTAACCTTGCAAATCGTGTTGAATCTTCTGGTGTTCCTGGGTCTGATTTCCTGACTTCTTTTTCTTTTCTCACCTTATTTAGCCAGTTTCAAAAAAATAGACTGGTATAAAACGACGCATCATCCATGTTTATTTTCAGAGCAGTTCATATAACTAAGACCACAAAAGAAATGTTACGTGGCGACTATAATATTGTTGAAGCACAGTATCGTTTTTGTTAATTCGCTCACTTCGCTGAAATTTGTCTTATCATAAATTTTTTAACGATAAATTCAAAATGAATTACGATAAGTTCTTCACGTTTTTCAACTGAAATGTATAAAGACAAAAAAATTTTAGAAAATTATGCAATTATTTGTTTGCAGTACTGATGATCCTGTAGTCGGTTCGCTCGGACAGCCAACCTACTTCATCTTACCTGACAAAACATCCGTTTTGGAGCGAAATGCCTCAATTGTTCGTAGAAGTTCAACGTATTCAAGAAGTCCGCATAAGGGGTAGTTCAGTCTAGGATCTCGTTCTACTAAAATATGCCAAAATGTTCTGCTAAAACTGGTTATATTATAGGCACTCGCTGTCCAGTTCGGATACAGTTGATGTTGAAGTATCATTAAATAGCCTAAACTCAAGCCGGCTGTCTTTGAAGTCGAAAGTTTCAAAAGTTGTTGAATCCTGGGGTGCGGAAACAGCATTTGCAAATCTGTCAAAAGTGAAACTCGACGAATCCGAAGTAAGCAACACTTTTTTCTGCATTCGCTCCATCAAAGCGTAAAAATCATTTGCGGTTTCTACACCAGCGACTTTACGCTATAGCAGTTTATCCAAACAAAGCTTTTCAACTTTTTTTAATCATGCAGTTCATCAAATTTCAGTCAAATATTGCTCGTCGTCCGCATTATAATAGTACGATACAGAGTATGACACTGATCGAAAACAATCTAACCAACTTTTCTCTATCAAAGTCAGAGTTTGTAGAACCAATTGTTGATTTTTTTCAAAAACAAACATTTAATTTCACCATTTGAATAACAAAACAGAATTGTTTATAAATTTAATAAAGTGCTACTAATATTTTTAGGTTAAATGTCTTTTTTCATTGTTCAAATCCGGCAACTGTAGTCTCACCTTATCTTTTGTGGCCTTTCAGGTAAGCTTGTTCAATCCTCAAGTTAATTTACCATTTTTTTTGCGGTAAATCCACTGTTGAAAAAAAAAAAACATTTAGAAAAAAATCTGCGTTATGTCAGTTTTCGGACTGTTCAATATTTTTGGTTTTTATAATCGCTGTCAACATATCACAAATGCTTCTGATTTTTGGACACCATCCGTTAGTTCGTTTTTCTTTTAACTCAACAACTGAAAAATTACTTTTGGCTTTTGTTTGCTTATCTATTTCAAAGTCAGTTGGTAATTGTTAATAGACTATTTATTCAGTAATTTAATAAATGATTTAAAAATTTACTGTTTTTTAGCACCTTCAATTTGTTTTCAATCTGAATGCTTCGTACATAAACATTGTTTTCTAGACATTTTTAATCATTTTATTTTGAAAAAAAAAAA